TTGTTTTGTGGAATCATATGTTTTTATTTCTTTTGGATAATTACCTAGGAGTGGAATTACTGGGTCTGAGTAGGCATATGCTTAACTTTATAAGAAACTGCCTGTTTTCCAAAGTAGTTGAACATTTTTACTTTCCCAGCAATGTATGAGAGTTGCAGTTGCTCCCCATCCTTGCCAACATTTAGTCATTCTTGTGAGTGGAAATGCTATCTCATTGTGGTTTTAATTTGTATTTCGCTGATAACTAATAATGTTTAGCACCTTTTCATATGCTCATTGTCTATTTACATATCTTTTCTTACAAAATGTACATTCACATCTTTTGCCTATTTTATTTAATTGGGTTGTCTTTTTATTTTTGGTTCATAAGAGATCTTTATTCTAGAAACAAGTCCTTTTAGGTGTATGAGTTGTGAATATTTTCTCCCAGTTTGTGACTTGAATTTCATTTTCTTAATATCTTTTAAGGAGCAGAAGTTTTTAATTTTAATGATGACCAATTCATCAATTTTTTCTCTTTGGGTTCGTGGTTTATGTGGCCAGTCCAAGAAATCTTTGCTTAACCCAGGTTGTGAAGATAATCATTTTCTTCTAGAAGCTTTATAGTTTTAGCCTTTACATTTAGGTCTGTAATCAATTTCAGATCAGGTTTTGTGTGATATGTAAGATAGGGCTCAAGATTTTTCCCCCCATACCTTTATCCATTTGGTTTAGCATCACTTTAATTGAATTGCCATTGTGCCTTTGTTGAAATTCCACTGACCCTTGTGGGTTTAGTTTTGGATTCTGTTTTGTTCCATTGATATATCTGTCCTTATACCAATACCACACTGTCTTGATTACTCTAGTTCTTCATCCTGTTGTGAAATAGGATGATAACTGGAATCCTTACATTATCTATGAGGTAGTGTGAGTCTTTCAACGTTGTCTTTTTCTTTTCTTCAAGATTATTTTGGCATGTAAATTTCATTTTAGAGTTAATTTGTTTCTTCAGAAAATCTGTTAGGATTTTGATTAGGGTTACTTTAAAGCTATAGATCAATTTAAGAAACTTGACATCTTAACAGTGTTGAGGCTTATCTAAGAGAATGGTATCTCTCCACTTACTTAGGTCATCTCTAATTTTTCTGTCATGTTCTGTAGTTTCCAAGTAAAGAGGTCTTATCTTTAGTTAGAATTATTTCTAGATACTGTTTTCTTTTATGTTATGGTATTTTTAAATTTTATTTTCCAATTGTTGCTAGTATATAGAGATACAAGTAATTTTTTGAATATTGGCCTTGTATTCTGAGGCTTTGCTAAATTCATGAATTGGTTTTAGTAGTATTTTATTAATAATAGATTTCATAGTGTTTTCTCTGCACATGTAATCCTATCATCTGTGAATAATGAGCTATAGTTCATCCTCTCTAACTTTTATACTTTTTGTCTTATAAATTGGCTATGACCTCCAGCGCAAGGTTGAATAGAAGTGTTGGAAGTGGACATCCTTGTCTTGTTTCTGATCTTAGAAATAAGAATTTAAATTCACCATTGAGTATGATGTTAGCTATAGTGTTTTTGTAGATACTCTTTACCAGACTGAGAAGATTTACTTCTCTTCCTAGTTTGCCCAGTTTTTTTAAATCATTATTAGGCTTTGAATTTTACCAAATGCATTTTCTGCATCTATTGAGATGATCTGGGTTTTTGCCTTTTATTCATTAATGTGTTTAATTATATTGATTTTTAAAGGTTTACCTTTTATAAACACTTGGTCATGATGTATTAACCTTTTTCTATATTGCTGGACTCAGTTTGCTAATGTTTGATAGAGAATGTGTCTATGTTCACGAGGGAAGTCAGTCTAATTTTCTTACGATGTTTTAGTCAGGTTTTAATATCAGTGTAACATAAAATGAGTTAGGAAGTTCTTTCTTTGACTATTTTCTGAAAGAGTTTGTGCAAGATTGGTATTATATCTTCCTTAAATGTTTTGGTAGAATTCATCTGGACCTGGAGCTTTGAGGGAAGATTTTTAATTATTTGGATTTTTAATTTCTTCTTGTCAGTTTTGGTAAATTCAAGGATTTTTTTTATCTTATCTAAATTACTGAATTGTCATTAGGTTGTTCATAATATTCTTTTTTTAACATCTATAGGACTTGTAGTAACGTTGCCTCTTCCTAAATATTGTTAGTCTGTGTCTCCTTTTTTTCTTATTTATTTATCTATCTATTTATTTATTTATTTATGGCTGCGTCAGGTCTCAGTTGTGGCATGCGGGATCCTTTGTTGCGGTGCGCAGACTCTTTGTTGCGGTGTGCTGGCTTCTCTCTAGTTGTGGCTCATGGGCTCCAGAGCACGTGGGCTCTGCAGTTGGGGAACACGGGCTCGGTAGTTGTGGGGCGCGGGCTTAGTTACCGTGCAGCGTGTGGGATCTTAGTTCTCCAGCCAGGGATCAAACCCGAGTCCCCTGCATTGGAAGTCCGCGTCGTACTCTTAACCACTGGACCACCAGGGAAGTCCCTACTAATCTTTTCAAGTAATCATCTTTTGACTTTATCCTTATGGTTAATTTCTATATTGTGGTATTTGATCAGAGAAGGTAGCCTGCATTATTTCAAGTTAGAATCCATTTTGTAAAATGTGTAATGGGGGCTCCTCTGGTGGCGCAGTGGTTGAGAGTCCGCCTGCCGATGCAGGGGACATGGGTTCGTGCCCCGGTCCGGGAGGATCCCACATGCCGCAGAGCGGCTGGACCCGTGAGCCGTGGCAGCTGGACCTGCGCGTCCGGAGCCTGTGCTCCGCAACAGGAGAGGCCACAACAGTGAGAGGCCCGCATACCGCAAAAATGAAGGTTGAAAAAAAATGTGTAATGGGCCTAATTCATGATTAACCTCCCTTGTTTCATGTCCCATAATTACATTGTTCAAATTATATGTCCACACTAAATTTTTATCTGTTTTGATCTTTCGTTTTCTGAAGGATGTTAGTTTCCAACTATGATTGTGGATTTATTTCTTCTTGATTTTTTTTTTTGGCTTTCTATATTTGAAGCTCGTTTGTTAGTTGTACTACTGTATCTTATGTTTTTATGAATATGAACTTTTTTTACTAATAAATTCATATTAATTAATGAATTTATTAATATAAAGTCTTTCTACCTTAAGTTCTAATTTGTCTCATGTCAGTACTGCCATATTTACTTCTTTGTTTTTCTCCCCCTTTTAACCTGGCATATATTTTAAAATTTTGTTCTAGGTATTGTATATCTCTTATGAACAGCATCAATCTAGACTAGAGTAAAAAAACATTTTTAAAAACAAGCAAAATTTAAGCTATTTACAGTTATTGTGCTTGCTGATGGCCTTCTTTGTACCCAGCTTTCTTGTTGCATTTCCCTCCTACCTCTCTCCCACCTTCTTACTTTCTTTCCCCTACTGTCCTTTCTCCAGCCCCACCAGTCCTCCCTCCCCAGTTGTTTGCTAGCACTTCCTGTTTTGCTGGCAGGGAGAGCCTTTTGCAGAAGACCTCTAACTTTCTCTCATTGCATTTGGTTTCCTCTATAGGATCAATAAAGCAGCGCTGCTCAACCAGTGCAGCAACTTTCCCCTATGTAAGCCTCAAATCTCATTTCTGAATTAATGATTGTATTAGAGTCAGTTCAGAAATGAGAAAACTAATTTTACAGGAGAAAGGCCTATAACAGAGTTATTCATTTCTATATCTGTATCTTAGGAGGTGTGAGAGCCTCACCTTGACCTCTTTGCATACCACAGGGTGTTTTAGACTCATGGTATAAGGCTCAGTAAGTATGAAATTTACATTTCAGTTGGCCTCCCCTGTACCTTTTTCCCTCCTATGTGTGGAATATGTGTCATGCATTACTAGAGGGACACCTGGTCACAACTTTTAATAACAGTAAATCAATTGAGAGAACTTACTCCCTGCTTTCATTCTTAAAGTTCTTTTGGGTTATCATAGAGAAAACTTCTGATTCTTTACCTCTCTCAAACACTTGCTATTATTCCCTTCCTCCCTTTTTGTAAACAATGAGCTGGGCTCAGGCTCACTGCCTTGGTGTAGGCCACAGTATTTAGCATTTAGTAATGTTTTGTTTTCCTTTTAATTGATTTATTATTATTATTTTTGGTTACCTTGTATTTTGTCACAATAATTACTGGTTTTCCACTCAAGATGGTGATTAAATTTTGCCTTTAAAATTTTTATTTTAAGAAGGGGTATCACAAAATTGAGAAATGTGATGTGTGTTTGAGGTTGGATGTGACCTTGGGCAAGAAAGTGATATGGCAATGAGTGAGATTTGAAATCTCCAACATTTCTCAGGCATCTCGATTATTTCTCTTTTTATCTGCAGTTCTAACTTGTCTAACAAGTGTTTACTGAGCATCTGCTTTGTGCAGAGGACTGTCCCAAGAATACGAGAAGTATGGTGTTCTCCACCTTGTAGTTCAGATTGGGAAGAGGACATGTGTCTGTGTGGCAGTGGTGTGAGTGTACCTTGGTAACATGCCGTCCAAGCAGCCAGTGCGTCGTACTGACAGAAGCCGAGGTCATCTCTGGCTGGGGTCTTGAGGCCTTGGTTCACACTAATATTTTCACCCAGGTGCCCATCTCTCTTCCTAAATCCTCATCAGTTATGTGGGGTTAAGGGGCTTTTGTTTGTAGGCATTTCTCTGAGAAGGTCTGTTTCCAAAAGGAAGTGTATCACATTGGTGGTTCTCGGAAGACAGCGTGGCTCCCAGAGTTGTGGCTCCAGCACCCCTGTGCTTAGCTGGAGGACCACTTAATTGTCCTGAGTCAGTTTCTTAATCCTTGTTGGCGATGATGAAATCCCGTGTTCTTCCTACTTTGTAAGGCAGCACATGTGGGATATGTTTGTGATGTGCATTTGTACATCAGTGTTATTTTTATAATAATCAGTATTTGAAATACTGATGGTTAATGCTTTTGAGGGTATTATGGGCGTTTAATTTTTTTCCCTATTTTTTTTCTAGGTCTTGATGCAGAACTTTATTATGTGAGAAATGATCTTATTAGTCACTACGCCCTATCCTTTAACCTGTTAGTACCCAGCGAGACAAATTTCCTGCACTTCACTTGGCATGCAAAGTCCAAGGTAAGAGAGCGGTCAACCAAAGATGCCAGGACAGGACCACCCAGGCCCAGAGGCTGAGGCAAGGACTGTATCTGAGGAATGGGCTGCCAACCACACAAGGGGGTCAGTGGGTGGTGGGCTGTAGCAGTACTGGATCTTTTCAGATTTCTATTTTAAATCTTGAGCCTAGTCCTCTAGACTTTCTCAAATCCTTGAAAATGAAGGTAGTCATCATTTATGTGACTAACTTATGGCAGAACACTTACATCTTTTCAAGCTTTTCAAATAGGGATGTAGCTCTAGCTTGAAGAGGGGACAGCTGGACCTGTTAATGACTATGCTGTTACTGTTATGAAGAAGTGATATGAGTGAGGGGTGGGGGAATTTGTAAGTTAGGTGTTTCAGACATGTTTGAGGTATTGGATATAGTTCTCCCATTTATGGAGAAGTGGTAAAAGTCACGTACAGCAGACGTATGCACCTGTGTGTAACTATGACGAACCTCTTGCCTGGTTTGCTTGTTCCTGAATTCTTCACATTTCTTCTGACTGTCTGGGCTCCTCTAACATGATAAGTTTTCTCTTAGGTCAGAGAGAGAGAGGCTGAATGTAGAACCAACCTCCCCCGATCAACTTCAGTTTCTTTCGGCAGTATTATATATAAGCTTCTGAGTAGGGTTTTATTTGGGAAATAAAAATAGTTTTTGCTACTAAAAACAAATAAGAATACCTACTGTACAGTTTATTTTAAAATTATTATAAAGTGGTATTTGTCCTTATATTTGTTGCAGGTCATTTAAGTTTGATCAGTTTAATATAGATCTGTTTTTGTCTACTTAGAAAACAATAATAGTTATTGGGAAAATTCAAATATTATAGAATTGTTTTAAGAACTGTTAAGACTTTGTACCTCTGTACCAAGAAGTAATCATTGTTTATAATTTGGTATACTTCAAAGCTCATTTCTTTTTCCTTTTTAAACAAAAAGGGGATTTTCTAACACATGTGTTGTACAGTTTCCCCCCTACCTGATACTATGTCTTGGCATCTTTCCATTTCTCTACTTTCCGATTTAACTCACTCTTTAATGGCTCTATAATATGATATCTTATGGATGTACAATGTATTGTTATTTGTTAAGTGCCTCATTGATGCATGGATTTTTTTTTTTTTTGCGGTACGTGGGCCTCTCACTGTTGTGGTCTCTCCCTTTGCGGAGCACAGGCTCCGGACGCACAGGCTCAGCGGCCATGGCTCACGGGCCCAGCTGCTCCGCGGCATGTAGGATCTTCCCGGACCGGGGCACGAACCCGTGTCCCCTGCATTGGCAGGCAGACTCTCAACCACTGCGCCACCAGGGAAGCCCGATGCATGGATTTTTAATAGCATTTTACTGTTTCAAACAATGTTTCCTTTCACTATTACAAATAGTTTCTTCACTTCATTTGGCAGGCAAAATCCATGGTAAAAACAATTGGTAGTTCATCTTTTGTTGCTGTTTCTAACTTTATTATTGATGAATATAGAAACAAAAAATATGTATGTGTGTGAATGTTTATGAGTATGTATGTATACATACATTAAGAACATCTTAATTTGTTAAGAAATTTTTGTGTACTTTTGGCATTATTTCTGAGTAGTACGTTGTGACCCGGAAGTGAAATGACTGGGTCAGAGACTGTGCATGATTAAAATTTTGATTGATATCGCCAAATTCGTTCTCCCTTCCCTCTCTCAAGATGGTACCAATAAGCCAACATTCCTTACAAAGTGAATAAGAGTGCTTCTTTCAGTTCACCATTTAATACTAAATATTTAAGTATATTTGTTTGCCAGTCAGATAAGTAAAAATGATTATATAAATATGCATATGTCCACATTATTATATATACTCACATGTACATTAGAGAAACGTACACACATACACATAAATGCATTAAAACGTAGCTGCAGGAATGCTGTGATTAAAGTTGAATTAGCTTGGATCCTGGGTAAAGCATATGTGCCTTGCTGTCTAGAGCACCTCAACTGTCCAACATTATTGCCTTGGGGTATCCAAATAGGGGGGTGTTCTTTTAGGAGTGGATAGATCTCTTTAGGGTGAAATCTACAAAAACAGAGGGAGAAATTTCATGTGAGCTAAGAACATATGGTAGATGGTAACTTGGATATACTGAAGTGCCAGCATAAATGATATAGGTAATTCAGAAAAGGTTCACCTGAGACATTTTAATCTATGGTCTGTTAGTTTGAATGGGTAGACACCTGGACTCTTCAATGAAACAGCTAACACATTTTTCAGTATTCTTATATAACATTGTGTGACATTATTATTTGGGGTGGGTAACTTTTAATTTTGATATAATTTCAAACATAGAGAAAATTATAAGAACAGTACAAAGAATTCTCAAAGAGTATCCTTTACCCAGGTTCACTAATTGTTACTGGTTTGCTCCATTTACTTACTTTATCATTCATTCGCTCATTCTCCCCACACTCATGCACACATACTTTTTTCCGTTGAACTGTGTGCAAGTGAATTGCATGCATTGTGTCCCTTTACTCCTAAATATATCAGTGTCTATTTTCTAAGAACAGGGTTAGGAACTTAATATTAAAACAATACTATTATCTAATCTACAGAACTCATATTTCATCAGTTATCCCAATCATGTTCTTTATAGCCCTTTTTCCTCCTTTGGCCTTTCTTTGTGTTTCTTGACTTTGACATTTAGGAACATACAGGCCAGTGGACTGTCCCTCATTTTGAGTTGTCTGAGGTTTCCTTATGGTTAGATTCCGGAATGTCTCCTTGGTGGTAACACTACAGCATTGCTGTCCTCCACAATGCACACGATGTCAATTTGTCCCCTTACTGTTGATGTTAACTGTGATCACACAGTTCACCAGGTTTCTCCACTGTAAAGTTCTCTCCTTTATAATGAACAGGTAATCGTGGGGAAATAACTTGAAATTATATATTAAAATCCCATAACGCAACACCCTTTCAACCACTAATTTTTGCACCTGTGTTTAGAACTAGGTTTCACTTTTAGACAGTGTGATTGTTTCCTCTCACTGGAAGAGGTGATCTGCACTGGGTAGCCATTTGGTGGTAGTGCTGTAGAAGGAATTTAAACATTGTGGAGTGGCAGTCTTAAATTTTAAGTTCCCTTGCAACTCTGAGATCCATCGTTTCTGTGAATCTTTCAGGAAGAGAAGCTTTTTATATTCTTCAAAAAATTGATGGTTAGTCCTTTGTTACTTTTCCTATCTTTAATGTTGATGAATACGAAAACAAAAAATACATATATTTTAAAATAGTGAAAAATCTAATGAAATAGTAGAGATTCTATTCTGGGTAAGCTGCTGACTTTGAATAGGATGTGATTGTTTCTGGGCCCACTTGGGGAAAAAAATGCTGATATACCATGAGAATATTTTCTGGGCAAGTGTATGAGTAGTGACTTATGAATAAAAAGGCAGTGTGGGATGTGGCAGTTAGAATTGAACAGAATTAAACATTCTATTTTCATTCATTTTAAAAAATATACACTAATTTTTTTTTTTTTTTCACTTGGAGTGAGTTTCAGGGGTCTGACTGCTGATAGTGGGTGCCTGAGGAGTTTTAGGAGCCTGTCACAAGGAGGAAATTGGAGTGGAGGAGAGCAGATAGAAGAAGGGGCTCAGATGAATATATATGTTTGAACGGGAAGCAGTGTTGGCGTGGGTACGTGTTGGATTAGGAGGAGCCTTGGTATAGCTCTTTTGTACTTTCATGTTCTTCACATTATCTTGTAGAGCATCATTTCTAAACTACTTCTGTGGCGGGTATTAAATACCATCATTAATGCACATTTGGACTGCTCTTGCTGGTATGATAGTCCTCGTAAGGCAGAAACTCCCTGACTTGTTGGAGGCCATCACATTTATTTACACGTCGAGGCCAGAAGCCTAGAAGGGATCCTCGACTCCTCCTTCACCTTCCCAGTCCAGATTATTCTCGCTCATAATTACACCTTAAATTCGTTTCCTATCTCTCTCGAGACTAATGCCTCATCCTTAGTTTGGGCTTTCATTGTTTCTTAACTAGATACAGAAATAGTCTTCTAACTGATCTTGCCTCTGGACTGACCTCTTGCTGTACTCCCCGCAAAGCAGTCCTAGGGCTCTCGGTTGCCATCAGAATAAAGTTCTATTTCTTAGGGAGCCTTCATGATCTCATCCCTGCCTTTTCTTTTTCTGCCTGCCCTCCTGCTAATTGTTTACTGCCATTTTTGGGGGGGGGGTCCTGGCAATTTCTGGAATGCCCTGTACCCTGTTACATTGCTGCTGTTTACTCTGCTAGAAATGCCCTTTCCTCATTTTTTACCTCATTAACTCTTTTTATCTCAAAACTTACACTTGGTGTCACCTCTATTTCATCTATGTCAGGTGCCCTTTTCTGTACCCACAGTGACCTTCTCTTTCCTCCCTCATAGCCCTTATCATACTCTAAGAATATTTTAGTAGTTGATTTTCTTGTCTGTCTCCTTCCAAGGTGCTGAGCATGTTAAGGCTAGGAACCTCTTTTTGTCTTTTTCTGTGTCCCTTGTGCCTGGTGTAGCACCTGGTAGTTAGTTACAGGTATTCCTTAACCGACTATGGAAGAGATGCACAGGTAGAAGCCACAGGGCACAGCTCAACAAATGGGGAACTTCTGAACAGTTAGAGCTTTTCAAAGTTAGAATGTGCTGCTTTAGGAGTGGTGGATTCCTGTATCTAGAAATGTGAAAACATAGGTTGGGTACACTTGACAAGCTAGTTGACAAACTAGTTGCACACCTGGGATTTTCCAGATATTTCACTCTGAATAAAGTTGTAAATTTGGAAAAATGAATGGAATTCATAGTTTGAATATATAGCTAAACTTATCTCACAGTTCATCTGTAGCAGGTGTAAGAATTGAGAGGAAAGTGCTAATCATGTTATATCTTAAAATGTTTTATAGTAAAAAACTAAGGAACGTGTGTACGTTAAATC